CCGCTGGGGAGTTGTGTGCTAAGAATAGAAATGTGCGGAAGATGCTGGGTTTGGCGGATCCAGTGATGCTGTCGCTGCTGCTGCTGGCGGCGGCGGCGGCGGCGGCTGGGCTGCAAGTAAACAAACCGGCCTCCCTCTCGTGCATCGCCTCCTGCGCATCGGTCTGCATCAGCCATGATGCCGGCGGGGCCCTTGGGAGCCCCGAGTGGAAACCTGGCCGGCGGCGGGGTGCGCCCCGGCTCCTTGGCGGGGTCACCCCGTGTTTGGGATTTCCCGGGAATCTGCGGGGAGGCCAGATTGCATCGCTCGGGCGTCGGGTTTCCAATGGCGATCGGGAGCGTGTCTCTTCTGCACGCAGAGGCGGTGCCTGCCTGCAGGTCAAGGGGAGGATGCGCCCCGGTCTCCCATCAGCATCGTGTTAGGAAAAGCACCCCGATGCCTGCCACCCGGGCGCCGATTGGTCCAGAGCCCGGTAGTTTGTAAGCTCCTAAGGTGCCTCCAAGGTAGAGAGTCCGCGGTGGACCTGCTGGGTCTGCTGGCTAGTTGCTGGCGTTAGTAAAATGGTCACGCTTCCTACGCTCATCCCGAAGCTAAAGGGTATGAAAGAATGGCTTTTTTTGCAGTTAGTACATTGCCAGCTGCCCCAAACCATCCATCGAGGTATGTGTGTGTGTGTCCCTTATTTGGGAAAGCGTGGTCATACAGCTCTTTAGTTCACTGCAAGTCATTAGACAGCCACTGGGTTTCGTTTTTGGTGGGAGCTCCTTAAAGTAGATTGTACGTTGTTAGGAAATCACTGAAACACACACACACACACACACACAAAGGTGGAAGAGTCCAATAAAGATGGTTTAGGAAACTCTGTCTTCAGAACTTGAGTGTCATTGCAAAATATGTATAAGTGAACATGAATATTCCAAGAGGTGGTTGTCTAATACACATACACACACGTACATATATTCACGACGTGGTTGTCTAAAACATGAACATATTTATTAAAATACTTATTAATAAATTACTGGCTTCCTGAGGTATCCGATTGAATGCACACTTATTTGCATATATGCAGTAGTTCATGTGGAAAGTAACACAATGATGAATAAACCCTCATACAAGAACAAACTTTAATGTATTCACAGCTGTACACCTACCTTTGCCCCACAATTTTCTTTTGACAAATATGCAATCTTGACTTTGAAAGTTTCCCAAGGAGATGGTACTGAAGATCTGCTTTTTGCTTTTCTCACCAGGTTGGCCCCACTATCTTTAATTGGCTTGAGCTTCTTTTTAAAGAGAGGAGAGCGTATATCACATGAATGAGATGAAACTGGAATTAGATGAAGGTAGATTTTTTTTTTTTGGTTCAGCTATACGTATATTTCTCCTGTGTATTTGCAGTAGCGTGTTTGCTTCCACTGTAAAAAAAAAAAACTAAAGTAACTGCAAAATAATTTGTGAAACTATTATTTGTATTCATTTTGTCCCAGACACTTAGCCTTTCTGTGATTTAGTGAATTATTTTCCAACTTAAAAATTCATTTTTAATTTCATCTTGACTTAGTTTAAGTTGTGTTTGTCAGAGTACTTAAGAGTTCTTCTTTGGATGTTTTGTTGTTTATGTAAGTTTATGGCTGTAAAGTATTTTAAATAAGATTTCATTCATTCAACAAATACTAGAATGTGAACTGTATGATAGGGGCTGGTTGATTGAGAACTTTATTTTACTTTTTATTCAGAAGTTCACATCCATTAGAAAGAAAATTTGTTTTCAGATCACGGCGAATCTAAACATGTTTTGCTCAAACATGTCATGGGACAAATGTGCTTGTTAGCATAGCGTCTTGTGCAAAGTAAGGATTTAAGGTTTTTTAAACTCTAGCTTTTGATTTAAATGTGAGAGGTTTTCTTTCTTACAGAAATTCAATGGAAATTTACAGCTATTTGGGTTTCTTTAAAAAGAGGAACCCGTTTTACAAATTGACTTTGTGGAAGTTTAGAGTTTACTTAAACTTTGCATATCTTTGTGAAAGGATAGCTACACTTTCTGTTGTTATTATACCTTTGAAGGTCAAGAGTTCACCCTTGGGAAGCTAAGGCAATCCTTGTTAACTAGGTGTTAATTGCATTTTAGCATGATTTGATAGGATCTTGTTTTTAGAGTGTGATTAAGTTTCAACATTAAAACATATTTCATTTGAAACCGTTCAGAATTGAATAACAACATGCAAGACAGAAAAAGAAGCCATTCCATTTTTAAAATGTTAAAACTTTTTTTTTATTAAATTGATTGGTGTCAACATGAACATATAGATTTCAGGTGTGTTTTTCTGTTAGAAGCCATTTAATTTTGTTTTGACTAAATCAGTCTTGTAATTTGACTTGCATTTTTCTTAAATTAATTTAAGAAATGCACATAATTAATTTTTATAGATTCGTTAGAATACGTAGATCATTTAAAATTGTTCCGTTTTTAACTTCAGGTTTCAGAGATCACATCAGTATTCCAAATCCTGGTTTCCTACAGCGTGCATTGTTCTGTTATTTTGTTTTTTTAATATATTTTTATTGATTTTACAGAGGAAGGGAGAGGGAGAGAGCGATAGAAACATCAGTGATGGGAGAGACTCATTGATTGGTTGCCTCCTGCACGCTCCCTACTGGGGATCAAGCCTGCAACCCGGGCATGTGCCCTTGATCGGAATCGAACCCGGGACCCTTCAGTCTGCAGGCCGATGTTCTATCCACTGAGCTAAACCGGCCAGGGCGCATGCACTGTTCTGTAGTCTCCTGCAAAGATAGCCCTGAATCATCAGATGTTAACTTAATTATTTTATCATGGTCTTTCACGAGCTAGATTCAGTGCAGCGTTCATGCTAGCCAATGCCTGGTGAGCCCTTGCCATGTGCCAGGCACTGTTACATGTGACCAACATGTATGTATATATGCATTTAATCTTCAGGACCGCCCCTGCTACATTTTTTTTTTTTTTTTTTTTAGAGAGGAAGGGAGAGGGAGAGAGAGATAGAAACATCAATGATGAGAGAGAATCATT